TTTTATCAATTTTTTTAATGTGATCTGTAACCTAATCCAATCTGATACTTCAGGTTAGATTAAATCAATTATCCAATCTGACCTGATCCATTTAGAACTCTAATTAGTATTATGTTAAACTAATATTTTTTGCTAACAACTAATATCAAATATAATAAAATATTACTTTATTATACTTTTCATTATTATAAGATTAATTTAAAGCATAATCTTATGTAACCAACATAATATACTTTTATTTGATATAAGATTATATCAGTTAAGATTCTTTATTGATTGGTAAAAATAGATTATTACATATCTATTTTCATTCAATCTTTTGATTCTGTAACTGATATAACTACTCCTTTATCCAATAATATATATTTAATAACATTAATTATATTTTATTATTTAGTTAAAAATTGGATTAGATTATACTCTTATATAACAAATTAATTTTTTAATTATATATACTGTATAATCTAAATAAAATAATTATATTAAAATTAATTAAAATAACTTTTGCAATAGATATAAAACTAACAAAAAAAATTAATTATTTCTATGTAAAATATAATTATGATATATTTACTTTTATGTTACTACTAAAGTTTAATTTTATTTGATCAGAGGTTAAAATTAAAACAAATTATATTAATCAATTTTTCTCAAATAAATGGGAGTTTATACTGTAATAACTCATTTTGTAATAGTGATTAATGTTAATAACATTTGTTAAGAAATGCTGATCAAATGAACTAAGGATTATTAAAATCTACCGACTGGTGTCAAAACTGTTTGAAAACGTATCCTATCATTATCTAATTAAATCATTAAAGCTAGGGTTTCAGATATTCAAATATTTGTTTGCAAATAAAGTGTTCAATCTTTTATTTTTATTTTTATTTTTTTATCCTCCTTCAGCCTTAAATAATCTTAGGATCGAACAGAATACCTTTGTTTTTTAAAAAAAAAAAGAAAAAAAAAAATGTAAGACCTTAGAAGAATTATCCAAAGTGATTTTCGGATTGTGATTTTTCGATAATCAAATTAATTTGAAATCCAAAAAACGTGACGTAAAATTAGTTATCATATGATTTCGCAGTATTTAAGCGCAGTATGATTTTGGTTTTATGGTCACATGAAAATAATTAAATGAATTTTCTGATTTTGAATGAACTATATCACAATAACGAAATGATAGCAGTGTTATAATTCCGAAAGTCCGTACTCCATAACAAATTTAAAAAAGCCAACTACATATTCAACCTTAGTTATTAAGTTGTCACGACATAAATAGAATAACTAACCAGCATTAATTTTGCACGTAACAGCTTAAAGGCACATAGTTTTTGGTGATGTCTACAGCACTTCGAGCAAATTGGTCCTGCGAACGTTGCACCTTTATCAATGAAGTAGGTGATTTTAGAAGTTTCACGTATTTTTTAAAACTTTTATATCATTAAATTTAATATGACTCTTCTTGAAGGGAATTCACTTAACATGTGCGGCGTGCTTTCTCACTCGAACTGATGCCAAAGACTTACCCGTTCAGGTATTATTACGATCAACATTCTCCTTGACAGATATTATGGGTGCTTGTTGATAGAAAAAGAAGAGTTCTAGAATTTAACCGAAAATTATTTTCATGGAAATTGGTTATGTAAAGTCATCTTATAGAAAACAATTGTTGATAATGGTCAATTATTCTATTGAAAAGCGCCCATATGTTCAGTATTAATAATAAATGAATTGTCGATTTTTTTTTACTTTATAGTGGGAATGGAGAGCAAATCCAGATCAGTGGATTCCCTATGACTTGGCATCATCGTCCGAACTCGAAGATGCGTATCAACATAAGAAGGCTGCCATTTTTCCAAAGCAAGGGTATTTTGCTTCAATACCAGATCGATATGAAGTGCGATTCAATTATGCATTGGGACGTTTTCAACAGCATAATCTCTCAAGTGGTGGAATTCGTCGAATTAGAAGGGTCGCTAATGGTGCAACTTTAAACTAAAATTTTTCTCTTGTAATTCAATGAAATTTTTTTTAAAAAACCAAAAACCAAAAACCAAAATCTAATATTAATTTATTATTTTGTAATGAAAAGATGACAACTCAATTTTGCAACCTGTTGCATTTCATGAAGTTACATCTGAAGATAGTTGTATCATTTGTCTGGATGTTTTTCAAGATCCCAGTTCAGTCTCTGTTGAACAACAAATTGTTAAACTTCCTCCTTGTCACGGTCATTATTTTCATCGATCATGTGTTGCAGGTGAATTTCCTATATTTATGGTCGTGTCGTTTCATTTTATCTTAATTAAAATTTACCTTTATCCTTTAGCTGCAATTAAACTAAGAGATGAATGTCCAATGTGCAAGAAAAGACTTGATTATTAAAGTGTTTGATTTATTGATAGGTGATTTAAACTATAGAGAAAGGTAGTATCTAGCAAACAGCAAATTTTTTTATGCCATTTTGTCGATTTATATATATATTTTTTATATACATATATATACATATATATTAATATCTGTCAAAAAAAAAAAAAAAAATGGAAAGATTAATTTCAGATGTCATTTTTAGCAGATTATTTATTGTACCTTTCTTTTTTTTTTTTTTTGTTAAATAAATTTTTTTTTTTGATAAGGAAAAAAAAAAAAGGATCCAATTTGACTTCCTACATATAACTTTTTTTTAAAAATATTATATTTACATTTTTTTAAAAGGGGAAAATTCAAAATTCAAATATTTACAGAGCATTATATCTACTTAGTAAAGAATGCATTTATATTATAATGATGATTTATAATTAATTATTTCAAGAAATCTGCAAATCATCGTTATGATGATATTAAATAAATAAATATATATATAGATACAATGTATTATTTATGCTGCTGATGATGTAATGAAAGTATGCTTTTATTACATTGGTGATAAAAAGAATGTATAGTAATATCTATTTTAAAGTCAAAGTTGATGATATTCATCCTGTAAAATGTAATTTCCGAAGTTTGCTATTCATTGAAATAAATCAATAAATCTTTCTTTGGCAACGCTATTAATTAGTTAAAGAAATAACGAAAGGGATAATTAGTAAGCATCATTTAAGAAATAATTAGAAATTATACATAAATTCTTACCGTCTTGTTGCTTCCTGTAATGATTCAGTAGTGCTATTTTGACTCTTTTTCCCTCCTGCACCAAGACCGACTCTTCCCTCGTTGGTAATAAATTGGACTGGATCCAAAATTCCAGTACCATGTCGTCCTAAACCTTGTCCTTCCTTCCACCCCATCTTCTGTAGAAGCTTATTTCCCTTATTATCTGAACCGATTTTTGTTTGAAGATTCTTTGCTTCTTCCGCTGATACTTGAGCTATATCCTCCCAATCTTTCTTTACTGGTCCATTATCAGGATGAATTTCTCTTCTTAAAGCAGCCCTATCAACATATTTTTTTTGCTTTTGATTGATATTAGATGAACCCATATATTTACGTTTCAAACGATTCAGCTCCTCACGCCGTTGAAATTCTAAAAATTCTTTTTGTGTTGTATTATTATTAATATTATTACCAATGTTTGTAATCAAATCACCTTCAAGATTTTTCTGTTTAGATTTATTCATGTTATTAGAAATGCCATCGTTCTTTTGAGATATGTCAATCACCTTTCCCTCCGTTACGGTGCAAATATCACATGTCCATTGTTTATGCAAATGCACTTGAAATTTGGTACTTCCAACGACAACTTCATCCATATGATTTAACTGATATGGCTTGGAACTCATCTTACTTTCCGATAATCGTTGAGAATTGACAAAAGTTCCATTTTGCGAACCTATATCAACAATAAAGAATGCATCAACAGAATTTGAAGTGGGTGATCCTCCTTCTTCATTATTGTTACTGCAAAAGATTTGGCAGTGATGTTTTGATGTTGGCATTTCAGCTAATCGAAGTCGTCGGTCATCCCATCTGTCCCTTCCCATGGAAATCCCATTTGCATCAACCAGAACCAAATGTCCCGCTTTAAGAATTCCGGATTCAATTACCACCAATCTAAGGGTTGCATCGCTACCAGGTTCTCCTTGTTCTATTGCAGCATCATCGGAAGTCGATGAATATACTAATGATGTTGGATCAATTGGCGTATAAGTTTGGGTACTTTCATCATATACTGAATAAACTCCAGAATGCACGTCAAACCAAACATTATTCTCAGGATTAAAATAATATCTCACTTCTACTGTTGCTTTATATCCAAGTGGTATAGGATATCTATGTGTTGCGTCCTTATGTTGATCTTGTCCATTGGTATCATTCTCATAAGAGGAAGAAGCTGTCCCGCATGCTTCAGAATCTGATAATTGACCTTCCTCGCGTGTACTTTCTGTTGAATTCTCAGATTCTTTATCAGAATTCGATGGATCTTCTTCATCTTTATTCGTTTCGTCAAATTTGCCGATCCCACCCTGATAGTTCTCTATTTTATTGTTAAAATACTTCCAATCTTGTATGTCTGCGTCCCAGAAAGCGTACATTTTTGTTGATTCACAATAATAATAACCAGTGCCTTCATCATACTTCCAATCTTCAGAACTACTTTCCCGATTTTTCAACTCTTCATACGCTTGCAGTGCATCTTCAAAAATGGATCTACCTTCCACAGATTTAGATTCCTGTTCAGCAAAATAAGAACAATTTTTATTTTTAGGACTTGCGCGAGGTCTTGTCAAGATTTTGTAATCATACGGAGCATCTTCCATAGTCGCCGACTCTTGATCGGGTTTGATAAGTAAAATTAGAACAAGTAATAAAAAAGTGGTTTTTATTTAAAAACAATTCTCAAACGGTAAAAACGGTACGGTATAGACATGCCGATAATAGCGATAGATACCAATATGTAATTGATTTCCCGATATGGTGATGCATTACATACAGAACTTACGTGAAGTGAAAAAAAATATTCATTAATTAATAACTCTCTTTTTAAACAACCCCTCAGAATGGATGATTCCGAACTTCAAGCAATTCGACAAACTAGGTTACGCGAGTTGCAAGCTCAACATACGTCTGTGAGTTTCAAATTTTTTTGAAAGATTTTAAAGTAAGCTAACTTAGATTTCATTCGTTCTATTAACTCTTTTTTTTCCATTCATTTAGGGTGGTGGCTCCAAACCGACGGAGGAAGACAGCGAGCAAAAACGGTAAAAATCCGCTTTGTGCTGATAAAATTTCTTATTCTAATTAAAATTACAGAAGGGTTCATTTTTGCTAAATATTTTAGCTGGAATATTTTACAGCCAAAAAGAAGAGACGAGGCAAGCAATGGTAACTATGACCTTTATTTACTTTTATATACGTTTTCCTTTAAAATATTTTTTTTTTAAATGAATATATCGGAATAGCTGACACAAATTCTGGAAAATCAAGCTCGTGAGCGACGTAAGTACATATGAGCAAGTGATTTAATAATTATAATATTTTAATTAACTTTATTTTCAAATTAAAGTCGCAAGGATCTCTATGGTAAAGGCCGATAAAGCGCGTGCAGTTGAGGATCTTTTAATTCGCATGGTTCAAGCAGGTCAATTACGTGGGAAAGTAAGCGAGTCTCAGTTAATTGAGTTATTGGAACAAATTAATCAACAGCAAAAACCTGAAACGAAAATTGTGGTATTTATTATATATTTTATGTTAATTCTTTAAATGTCAATTTTCTTTTTTGGTAACTTTTTTAATTTTGCAATAAAGTTTAACCGACGGAGATTTGATTATGAGGACGAAGATGACTATAACTTTTGAAATATTTAATAAAGTAGTAATTTACATTGTCGAAAATTTACACGTTTAAACAAATTGCTCATCGAGCAATCAAAAAATACTTTTCATTTATATAATTTAATTTCGCGAACCATTTGCAAAACGCGATTGAATTTTTTTTACGATTATGGATCTATTCTGATTAAAATAAGGAAGTTCCTTGGAACGCGTTTAAAGCTAGCTAATGCAATACATCAATGTTAATAATAAATATTATGTCTGGTGATTTATGGTCATAATGAAGTTTAAAAGATTCCGATACAAAATAAAAATTTCAACGAATAGAGTATGTGGAAATTTTTTTTTTTTTTGATAAACTATTATTTTTTTTATCGTTATTTTTTTATAAAATTTTATTTGTTAAACTTAAATGTGAAGGTGATTCAAAAAAAATCATAAGACAAGCTTTCTTTTAGATATGTGATACATAATAATCAATAATACTATTTCTTATGTCAAGATCATAGCTCTATGATTTTCATACCTAAACATATGTACGGAAATGCGAAAATTGTGATGGATAGCGCAAATATTATACATTAAATGATGTATAAGAAATGTTAAGTGCGGAAATTCACCAATCATGTGCACGCGGTACATGACCGCACTACCAAAATCATAAAATGCTTTATAGTCCAAAGAAATATTCTTAAGGTATATTAATATCTCTATATTATAATTTTTGCATCTAATCCTTCAATATTCTGAATGGTTTTATATCAACTACATGTCTTTGTATGTAAGTTTATTATATAGATTCCCTTTTTTTTTTGCTTTTGTTGTTAAAATTTATAATAAGAGTAACAAAGCATCTTTTAACTGTTTTTTTTATTATCCTTTATATTTTCCTGTTCATAATATTTAAAATCTCAAAAGAAGAATATCAGTCATATCAAATTTATTAATTAAGAATTTGATTATTTTTTGATACATTTTATTTTGCAATCATTTAATTTTTGTCTCATATGAAAGATAACTTAGTTAATATATTTGCTTATTTTTTCATTTTAAAATTAAAAACATCAGTCTATCTTTTTTAAATGAATAAAATACAAACTTTTGAATTAATTAAACTATATAAACTTTTACTTGTATTTTACAGATATATTTCATACATTATATACTTAATAAAACATCTAAGCATTTATTATAATTTCTCTTATTTTAAAATGAAATAAATATATAAATTATATTATCAACAAAAGAAATTACAGTTTTTAATATCACATAAATTCTGCTAATCAATAATAATCTCATATTAAATGATCTCTAAATAGTGATCAATATTAATTTTCTGTTTCACCTGTTTCTTCTATTTCTCTTATATTATTTGTATAGCCCATTTATTCTGTTTTTTTGTTTTATTTATAATTCTTTTAATATTTATAATTTGTTTTATTTCTTTTATTATCTTTATAATTTATTTTATTTTTATTATTTTTTTACATTTAAATATATTTTTCAAGTTATAAATAAGAAATCAATTTAAATCTCAAAAATTATTTTTTTCTTTAATGTTATCTCTTATATATAATTTAATTGTGATATTCTACAATAACTTACTTTAAATTTATTATTGAGTTTAGCTTAATAAATCTTAAATTCTAAGATGTATAAATTGTAGCATTAATTTAAGTATAATAAATATTTGTAAGACTTAAAAAAATCTCAAATTATAAACTCTGATAAATAGAATTAACTATCATAACTTATTAAAATAATCAAAATTAAACCTAATGACAATATTTTTATTTTTTAATTATTGAGTTTATATTTTTTTAATAATAAATTAAAAATTATGAAATTATATACAGTCAACTTTTTCTACAATGAATTTTGATATAACGAATTTTACAATACAACGGATTTTCATTGTTAGACAGATTTTTAAATATAAAAAAACCCTTA